CCGGGGTCTGCAAAGGTACTCTTACCTGCAGGATATTCTGTGGACTTGGGAGGAGCCCAGGAGTGGTTGAGGGCCAGGCCTGAAGCGCTTTACAGTATGTATGCCAGGCCTACTGTGCTAACCCTTTACTGCACCCCCTCCAGAGTAAGAAAAGCCAGCTTTGTTAAGGGAAGTAGGGTGGAATGGAGACAAGGACATCTGACCAGGAAACTGCATCACAGAAGGGTTGGACTAAGTTATTTGCTATGCTTTTTGGTCCTAAGATCCTTTGGCTAGAAGGTTGTTTATAAAATCTTGTTCCTTTGTCAGCCAAGCACCCAGCACAGTGTTCTGGGGCAGGGGGGATGCATATGTAGAAGAATATTTCAGTCTTAGGGTAGAGGGCAGTAGGGAACGGATTCCAGAAGGCCTGTGATCTCTCTTAAGCTTCGATATGAAAGATAACAGGAGTTAATCAAGCAGAGGTGATGGGAGTGGCCCCCAGGGGTGGTGTGGAGGCCTTATAGATGATTAAAGAGTTTGATTGTTAGCACCCGTGTCCTGGAGGGCTCACTATTGCAGAGAATTGAGCCGGGAAATGGTGAGATGTGTGTTTGGGGATTATCACTCTGACTACAGTGTGGCCACCTGGGGAGTGGAGGTAGCGGGGCAGATCAGCTAGGGAACTTCCAGAGCTTAGCCAGACAGGAGATGACTGTAGCCTGACCCAGTGTCACTATGCTCTGCCATCAAGAGCTGTGCCATCATTTTGCAGTGTATACAAATTTCGAATCATTATGCTGTACACTTGAAACTATTACAGTGTTCTATATTAACTATATCTCAATAAAATTTTTTTGAAGACAAGATTAAACAAGTTATAAAGACACCCACTAAATCAAAAATAGAAGCTCTCCACATTTTCAGAGAAGATAAAAACAGATACCACGTTTTCAGAGAGTTTAAAGAATCTGCAAAGAAATTGAAGGCATCATATAAATAATGAAAAACTGAGACCAAATATATATCAAATTGATAAATATAAATGGGTCAAACTAATTCGCATTGACTCATAAAGCAGAATCCAACTCTTTGCTGTGTACAAGGGACCCAAAACAAAATAATTCAGAAATCTTTGCAGTTGTGCAAAAAAACCAAACAAACCAAAAAAACAGCTGTAGGGAAGCAGAATTGATAGGACATAGCGATTTAAAATAATGGACTTTTTTGTGACATTCGTTCCTTTCTGTTGGATTTTATATTGAAACTTTATTTGACTAAACTTGGCTTAAAGGTCAGCTTGCTGGTTTGTGAACCTTGGACTGATGATTATCAGATATTGAAGGTGAAATTGTCATGTGGTAGAAAGAACATTGACCCTAAATCAAACAGACCTGAATTCTAAGTTGAATTTGCCACTCGGTGGCATATCACATTTGGAATTTTTCTTAAGAATGGGAATGGTAGGGGGGTGCCTGGGTGATTCAGTGGGTTAGGCCTCTGCCTTCAGCTTGTTACTGAGGAGAAAAATGCAGAGAAAAAAAGCTTTAAGAAAATGCAGTAATTAGGGGCACTTGGGTGACTCAGTGGGTTAAACCTTTTCCTTTGGCTCAGGTCATGGTCTCAGGGTCCTGGGATTGAGCCCTGCATTGGACTCTCTGCTCGGTGGGGAGCCTGCTTCCCCTTCTTTCTCTGCCTGCCTCTCTGCCTACTTGTGATCTCTCTCTGTCAAGTAAATAAAATCTTTTTTTTTAAAAAGGGAATGGTAGGGACGCCCCGGTGGTTCAGTTGGTTGGGCATCTGCCTTCGGCTCAGGTTGTGACCTCAGCATCTTGGGATTGATCCCAGCATTGGGCTTTCTGCTCAGTGGGGAGTCCGCTTCTCCCTCTCCCAATCCCCCTACTTGTGCGCACTCTCTCTCTGACAAATAAAATCTTTAAAAAAAAAAAAAATAAAAAATAAGTGGGAATGGTAGTTGACTCAGGTGACAGAATGCAAAATAAATACAGACCCTGGATTTGAGAGCGAGCTTTGCTGCTTATTAGCTACGTACGGTCAAGTAACAAACCTTTCTGGTTGTTATATTCCCTAAATGGGAATATAAAATGGTACCTCCTATGATGTTTTGAGAATGAATGAGGCAACACCTGTGAAGCACTGGTGCACTAGGATGGGGTAAGACACTAAGTGGCCCGTGGTTGGGGACTTCATTGTTGGCTCCCCACATGCCTGCCTCTAAGACAACAGTAGGTCTCCAGTGTGAATCCGGCCTGCTCGCGTCCCACTACACCTGCCCCCTGGACATCCATACCTTCCATTTTCCACACCTTCTCCCATGCAGCGGTTAGTAGAATATAATTGGACTCTAGCTGCCTCTCTGTCAAGCCTATTTTCCTTTTTAATAAAATGAAGTTTTAATAAGTAGATATGAATTTTCTGTAATGAAAGGGGGGAGTACTTTTATCAGCTCAGGTTCTTGCAGAAAAATTAATCATTTAAAATGTGGCGTCTGTGCTTGTTTACTGTATTACATGCAACTGCTACTTTACTCATACCCCTGCTGAGCTCCCAAGTGATTTTCTTATTTATTTTTTTAAAGATCTTATTTATTTGACAGAGATCACAAGTAGGCAGAGAGGCAGGCAGGGGTGGGGGGAAGCAGGCTCCCTGCCAAGCAGAGAGTGGGATGTGGGGTTCGTTCCCAGGACCCTGAGACCATGACCTGAGCGGAAGGAAAAGGTTTAACCCAGTGAGCCACCCAGGCACCCCTCCCAAGTGATTTTAATTCACTTTACAAAAAAGACGCACAGTTTACTCAGATAAAAGCAACTAGATAAGGAAGCCAGAGAAGAGAAGGGCTGGAATTGCTGGAATAACGAGGCCTCGTCAGGAATAGGTCAGTGCCCAGCAGTGATGGTGCCATGAGGTCCCGTCAGGCCAGCTCTGCCCCCTCAGTAACCAGTACAGAAGCTTGGGTGTTGTGGGTGCTACCAGGCAAAACTTTGTCATGGAGTAAACAAGACTAAAGCAACATTCAAGGCTCTGCTATATTTTTGAAGAAGCTCATAACATCGGTGATCAGGGCTTTTTCCTCATACCTGCTCCAAAGCTGGCATAAGTGGGTGGGTGTTTGGTTTTCCACTTTACCCTCACTCCCCCCATTGGGTTATTAAAGCTGGAAGCTTGAGAGAGATTCTCCCTCTCTAAATTTATTGAGATAATTTACATGTAATACAATTCTCTTTATAAAGTATACCATTTGTTGGCTTTTAGTATACTCTGAGTCGTGGAAGTCGGACGTTTCCCCCTGTCCCAGAAGAGCCCCTGAGGGGTTGCTCCTCGCACCTTCTGGACTTCCCTTCCCTCCCAGACATGCATAAAAACGAGTCCGTTTTCTGTGGATTTGCCTCACTGGACCGCTCACATCAGTGGAAGCATATATTATCCGGTCCTGCGGGACTGGCTTTGTGGTGGGGCATAATGTTTTCAAGGTTCATCTTTGTTGAAACATACATTAGCATTCATTCTGTTTTACAGTGGTGTTGGCTGATGCCACGTTTGAGTTATCCATCCACCACGTGCTGCGTATTTGGGTGTAAGAGATGTCCTTGATTTCTTCCTTTCTAGGATTTCCACATCCATCCATCCGTGACTAGTGCCCCTTGTCCCGCCAAAATGCACAGTTGTGTGTCCGTAGCATCTCGCCGCCTCGGCAGCTGCCCCTCTGTCTCTGCCCCCGTGGCTTCTGTTCTCTATGCAACAGCAGCAGGGACCACAGATGAATGAGGTTGTCTCACTTCTCTCCTTACAGCCCTGGCTGTGTCCTGCAAAGCTCTGTATGAGGGTGTTGCAAAATCTGATGCCTTCAGGGAATAGGTAGGGTGTAGGCCAGTCCGGGGTGGCAGGGCCTGGGGCCACTGGAGCAGGCACACCTCAGGACCTTCCAGTTCCAGACATTTTAGACAAAACCTACAGGGTCATCCCTGCCCCTCAAGGTCAGGCTCCACTCCTGCATGTTATTCACTCTCCTGCTGACTGTTTTTCAGACAAAACAGTCTTTCGGTTCCTCACGCATGCCAAGCTGCTGTTCTCCTCGGGTCTTTGTGCACACTGTGCCCACTGCCCGGCATCTCCTCCCTGGACCCTTTCTTCACGCCAGCGCGACCCTCCCTGCCACCCATGTTCCCCTTTCTGTTCTCTGCGCACTCCCGGGTTTGTGGGGAAGGCCTGCCCCTTCATCTGCCCGCTTCCCTGGGCCCAGCAGGTCCACTGAGAGAGGGATGTGTTTGCTGCGTGTGTTAAGCATTAGTCATTTAAGATGTGTTCAAAAATGAGTGTAGGGAATAAATCGCCAAAGACAAATGATCATTTCTAAGTGAGAGTAAGTTGCCTTTTTGTGGGATTTCACACTCATTTGTATAACAGGTATCTTTACTGATGCTGTGTATAATCACAAGGGGGTGTGTATAGGTAGAAATGTAAACATCCTGATCAAAAGCGTATTTGTTCTCATTACATGGAGTGGTCATAGCAGTTTCCTGGATTCTTGGATTCCCCTCTCTGCCACTTAGAACATTCTCCACCATAAATCTTTCTTTACTGGAGCTGTGTTTCTTCCCTCTGGTGCACCTCATTCACCAGCAACACACATCTCCCTGACAAGGAGTCCATTGAGCTTGTTCTCGGTTTAGGGCAAAGTACAAGTGTTCTAATGACTTGGAAATAAGTTTGTACCCATACTCTGGTCACTTACTGATGATTATGTTCCTTATTATCCTCCTTGAAATAAAATTGACTATGATAATGTTCAGATCTCGGGACATAAGAGAGTTAAAAGTGATTGACATCTGGAAGAGAGTTCAGGGCTTGCTTTCCTCCTGGACTTTTCACACAGTCTACAGAACGCACTTTGGAACCCACAAAGCTCATACAGGGTGTTCTTATGATATTTGAGAAGCTACAAGAAATAAATTCTCTAGTGCCTTTTGCCTCACATTCTCTTATCATTTTTCTCTCTTTAGGTGCTATTTCAAGTGGTTTCAGGCTGGAAGAGTCTCCATTTGTTCCCTATGACTTTATGAACAGCAGTACTTCTCCAGCCAGCCCTCCGGGTTCAATAGGAGATGGCTGGCCACGTGCCAAATCGCCTAACGGCTCTAGCAGTGTTAACTGGCCACCAGGTAAAGTGCAGACTGAGGCTCTGCCTCCCTCACGGTGTCATTCCTGCTCAGTACTCTAGTGATGTAGGCCAGTTCGGGTGGATCAGCCCGCGCTCTGCTAGGGCTGGGAAGGAACAGAGGAGCCAGTCTGGCCTGTTACCAGTGCCTTTATGCTCCAGGCAGTGAAGGGGGAGGGAGTCCCACCGGCCGGCGTGATGAGTAAGGTAAAAAAAAAAACATTCAGGGCTCCTCTTCATCTACACAGTCTTTCGGTTCTTTCGGTTAGGGGACTAACTTGATGGTGTTTCATTTGGGCTGAGACATTACCGGTAATGGACTTAACAGCCTTCTTTTCTGTTTGCATTGCTATGGCTTGTGATTTAATAAAGCACTTTACAGTGTTACCATTTAGGTGTGCCTGGTTGGCCCAGCTGGTAGAGCATGTGACTCTTGGTCTAGGGGTTGTGAGTTCGAGCCTCATATTGGGTGTAGATATTCCTTAAAAATAATTTTCTTTTAAGATTTTATTTATTTGAGAGAGCATGTGAGAGAGATTATGAGCAAGGGAAAGGATAGAGGGAGAAAGAGAAGCAGACTCCTTGCTGAGCAGAGAGCCCAGTGCAGGACTTGATCCCAAGACCCTGAGCTCATGACCTGAGCCGAAGGCAGATCCTCAACCAACTGAGCCACCCAGGTGCCCCAAAACTAAAATCTTAAAAAAAATAAGGGTGGCTAGGTGGCTAAGTCGGTTGCTCATCTGGCTTCGGTTCAGATCGTGATCCTGGATCCTGGGATCGAGTGCCACACTGGGCTCCCTGCTTAGTGGGGAGTCTGCTTCTCCCTCTCTCCTTGCTTCTCAACCCTGCCACGCTTGTGCGCACATGGTCTCTCTGTGTCAAATAAATAAGTAAAATCTTTTATTTTAATTATTTTTTATTTTTAAAATAAAAAAATAAATAAATTTTAAAAGTGTTCCTATTTAAAAATATATGAACCCTGAGAAATGATTTTATTTGCAAAAATACACAAGTCATTCTTAAATAGCAGCTTATGTTACACTAACCGTAGTACTAAATCAGCCTCATAGAGTACTAGTATTAACTGGAAAATATTTGAGAATTGCACAGGCTTTAGGAATACAAGTTTTGGATATTTAATAATGGATCTTTAAGTGATGGAAGATTAAGCCCAAACTAATTTTATGTGTTTGTTTCCAGAATTTCGCCCTGGTGAACCATGGAAAGGTTATCCAAACATTGACCCTGAAACTGACCCTTACGTCACTCCTGGCAGTGTCATAAACAATCTTTCAATTAATACTGTGCGGGAAGTTGACCACCTCAGGGACAGGAACAGTGGTACGTAGGCGGGTACAAGTCAGAATTTCTGAAAGACGCTGGATGACGTGATTTAAGAATGGTTCACAGAGGATGAGAAACTTTTAGCCCATCACAGCACCTGACATCCAAGGGAGTCATGAAAATAAAAAGTGAATTCTCAATTTTCCCATAGGTGATTCTTTGCCACTTTAAAAATGACGAGGATTTATTGTCACTTGATATGGTTTACACATATATTCACTTAACACAAAGTACCAACAAATACTTGCTTTCCAGGAATTGTAGTAGCAACTGAGAGGTTGTTACCTACTTTATAACAAGTTTCAGTGTTGTGATTATTAAGAAGTGGGCATTTCTTATAAAAGATGTTATCATTCATTTATACACCCTTGTTCTTAAAGGACTTCCGTGTGAAGAACCAATTTAGCTTTCTTTGTCTCTCTAAAAGTGAAAAATTAAGACCATTTGAAGGGTCCCTCCACTTCGGATGCACTTTTTAATGGGTTATCAAATACAGTCATCCTACCATCTACCGTATAGTTTTCCCTCACCCCAGTCCTTTAAAGTATTCTCTGCATGCACCTGAAGGAAGGTGAAGGGAGTGAAAGAAAATACTTTGTTTCCGTTCAAAACCTACATCTTCCTGTTCCTCTAGACAATTTATAACAAGATACGAACAGCATTTTACATTAAATGTGTGATTTTGTTAACAGGTGTTTGCCATATCACAATGGCAAGGAAAGAATCCTCCTCATTCGAAAATGGCTGAATTTAACAGACCACTGTGTAGAAGTAGTTAAAGTACCCACAGCTTTCGCAGCAGAACGGCGGGGACAGAGCCAAGGGTAGAGTCTCACAGCCTTGTGTGTAGTTAGTGGAAGAATCTTGCGGCTTGCAGAGACGGACTTCTTGTTGTGGAAGATTGTTGGTCAGGAGAGGAGTTTAGATTGGTGTTAGAAGACGTGAACCGTTGAAGGTTTTGAGTGGAAGTCTTGCCATTGAGGGTAGATGGTCTGACAGTGACCCGCAGAAGGGATGGAGTGGGAGGCCAGGTTGGAGCTATTACAGACCCGGATGACAGTCCAGCCTGCAGCGGGGCGAGTGATCGAGGGGGATTCAAAAATGGGACAGTCTGGTTTGGGAGGCTGCTGTGGGGCGTGATGGAGGGTGAGGACCTGCCGGTACTAGGATGCCCCGGCGGGAGAGGGTGGTCTGGTGAGCAGTCCCTGGCTTTGGGGCAGGAGGAACTAGCCCTCCTTCTGGAGCCTGGACAGGGACATGGAGCCAGTGTCGTCTTGGAGTGTCAGGCAGAGGAGGGAAGCTACTCCCTACCTCCCTGAGCTACAGTCAGAACGATGAGCAGGGAGGAAGGTGCAGTTGTGGGCACTGTGCCTGAACCCCAGCATCTGTTGCTTTCTTGGGGCCTACGGTTGGATTGCAACCTCACGGGAAGTTCCTGCTTATTCTTCATGTGCCATGCCCCTTGCTCTGGGGATCACTAATTGGGCTCTTCCCCCACATAGGGTCATCCTCATCCTTGAACACCACGCTGCCTTCAACTAGTGCCTGGTCATCCATTCGTGCCTCCAACTACAACGTTCCCCTCAGCAGTACAGCACAAAGCACTTCAGGTGGGCCTTGTCCCGGGCTTGTTGAGGCCCTGTCAGAGGAATGGGGTACTCAGCACCTGGGGCGGGGGCTGTTGTGGGGAACCCTCTTCTCTCTATTTGAAGTATTCTTAGTCCGGAGGTAGGAGAATATATTTCTGAGCCTGGGAAAATACTTGTAACACCATTTGTCCCTTTTTAAAATTGGCTAGACCCAGCAGTCTTTTCTAAAACAATCTCCTTTCACTGAGCCCCTCTCACTCTCTTGTCTGAGAACCAGCCCATTAAATGCAGTTTAATTTGAAGCAGTTCTCAAATGAGGCAGATTTATTTTTGTAATGTCCTATCTTTTGCAGTCTGATACTTCTGTAAAGTGTAGGAAACCTGACCTTAGAATTGCTAGAAAAGCAATCACGTACTTGGGAGCTCTGGCCATGTCCGACTGCTGTCTGCCTACAACAACACTGAGTTTTCGGTACTTGTTCTGTCGGAGACCAGTGAGAGCTTGTGTGGTGACCAGGCTTCCCACCACTTTGAGTCTCACTCACTTAAGGGAGGTGCACTTTATGAATCAAGTAGAAACATAATGGACAGTGACAGAAGTTATAAAATTTTCCATCCACTTCTGCCCCCTCATGGTTTTGTGGGATTATTTTGAACGAGTTTACCATGTGCCTGATCCCTGCACACCCCCATTGCCATGAGGCAGGACACATCAGGAAGTGAGCTTTCTTCTTCTTGTTCTTCTTCTCTTTTCTTTTCTTTTTTTTAAAAAAAACCCAGACAGGCCTGGATTTAAATCCTGGCTGTGCACGGGACCCATAGGCAAGTAGGTAGGATGTGTGTCAGGATTAGAGCTAGTATGCACCGAGTGCCCAGCAGCCTGGCGCTCGGCACAGAGAGACGCCTGGTGAACGTCTGCTGTGAGGACTCCCTGAGTTAGGGGTACTTTTGTGGTCCTTTTTCCCATATGTAAACCAGAGAGTTCTAAGATCTATTTAATGACCTATGTGACGATCTCGAGTGACTCGGTCATGGTCCTAAAGGTAAGGAGTTCCCAGGTGCTGTTTCAGAGCAGTTGAAAGCAGTGTATTTTGTTTTGTTCTGATTTCCATTGCGGTATAGTTTGGTACACTGGGCTAGGAATTTCATGAGTCTTAAAATTTTTAATAACAAATGGTTTGAGTGTTTTGAGTCAAGGGGACAGTTTCCTTTTGGCTTTTGTGGGGCTTTTTGGGGGCAGTTTTGAGTTGGGGATTTTTAATAGGGTTTCTTTTTGGTTGATTTGCTTTTTGTGGGAGAATGGGTGCTGTCATTAAATTTTCTCTTTTCTAAAAGTATTATCCCCCCCCCACCCACTGTGTTTTTTCCCCTGTGAGTAGCCAGAAATAGTGATTCCAAATTGACATGGTCTCCTGGTTCAGTTACAAACACCTCTCTGGCTCATGAGCTGTGGAAGGTCCCTTTACCACCTAAAAACATCACTGCTCCGTCCCGCCCACCTCCGGGACTGACTGGTCAGAAGCCACCCTTGTCTACATGGGATAACTCTCCCCTTCGTGTAGGTGGAGGATGGGGAAATTCTGACGCCAGGTACACCCCAGGTAAGACAAACATGATGCTTGTGATGGTTTCTTGGGGTTCCTTTGCTGAACAGGAATAAGTACGCACAGTGAGTCTAACAGATGTATGTGCATTACCCAGTATAAAGTAGGATTTGACCTTAGACGTGCGACTCTAAATTTCTAAATTGTGAATCTTACATTTACTTGGAATTAAACCTGGTTTACTTAAGAACATGTGGCCAAAGCCACACAGTCAGTGGTCAGGTTAATGTAATGGATATCCTGTCTCTTTCGAAGTTTCCTGGAGCCTGAGAACATCTGCTCACTTCCTGCTCGTGGCAGCAGTGTGCTGCCTGGAGGGGCTGGGGAAGGTGGGAGCAGCCCAGCTGGGCCTGTTGGGTGGCAGCTTGGCCTGTATCCTTAGGGTGATCTCCCGTGTATTGTTTCAGCAGGGAAGTACAAGAGTGGACGGGGGTACTGGTAGTTAACATTGCGGGGCCGGCATTCCCAGGAAAACTGCCCTCCCCCCGCGTTGTGTCCTTTCCCTCCCTGCTCTTCCTGCATGGGACTCTCACTGGCTTAGGACTGGCGTTGTGTCCTTGCCCTGACACACACACAGATTAAACTAGCTGTCTGCCAGTTCTACCAGTAAATATGGTCTCAGTCTTCATTCTCCTCAGTCTCAGAACTGTAGCTGACTTTCTCATCTCTAGCCTGAAAATAGTAAAACTTCACGGCAGTGTCCAGTCTTTAGGCAGGCGATCAGCTGAAAGAAAGCTTAGCAGTGTTTCCTTTGGGGGAAAGGTTTAAGGGAGGGGGAGTGATTTTAATTCCATGAAAGGATCCAAGCTACTAGACATACACGAATGTAGTAGGTGTCCTGTGTGAGTGGTTCTTCCCGGGCCGAGGGCGCATCTGGTGCCAGCCACGTGGCCGGTAGCAGCACAGTGACGGGAGAGGGTCTGGTGCCCAGGGGTCCCACGCGCAGGTGGCTGATGGAACCCAGTAAGGGTCAGCCAGGCCAAGCAGAGAGGATACGTATGGCAAGGCGAGCCGCCCAGGAAAGCACGAGCGCTCCTTGCTAGAGACAGGGATGAGTGAGCCAGTGCAGGGAGAGACCAGGAGGCAGCGTCACAGAGCCGTTTTCCTCAGGCACGCCGCCGTGTTGGTGAGGTACCTCGGGCGCTCACAGGAATGACTGGATCTTCAAGTGCTGCTGGGAGCGCGGGCGCCCTGGGGCTGAGCAGGAAGGCCAGTCTTGGAGCTCCCTGGGAGCCAGACAGACACAGGAACGTCCGGGTGATTGCAAGCCGGCTCTTCCTGATTGAAGTCCAGTGGGGACACAGCGTTACAGTGGTTTCAGACAGACGACCCAGTGATGCAGCGAGTCTCCACGTGACTCTGCTTGCCACCAGTGTACCTACCGTCTGTCCCCACGTACTGTTCAGTACCATTGACTGTATTCCCGACGCTGAACCTTTCCCTCCTCCTGTCTTATTCATTCCCTAACTGGAAGCCTGTACCTCCCTCTCCCCTTCCCATTTTGCCCACGCCCTACCCTTGCCCGGGCAACCATCAGTTCTTTCACTGTGTTTATAGGTCTGAGCTGGCTTTGTTCATTTGTTTTGTTTTTTTTTTAAATTCCACGGACAAGTAAAATTGTACAGTATTTGCCTTTCTCTGTCTGACGTATTTCATTAGCATACAATACCTTCTGGGTCCATCCATGTTCTACGTGGCAAGATCTCATCCGTTTTGTGGCCGAGTAGTACTCCATTATATATATATGCCACGTTTTCCTTATCCGTTTATCTGTCAGTGGACACTGATGGCAAGCTTTTAAATACCTCATGCATGCAGAGTTATCAGACCATACCTTAGATCATCACAGAGGCCTTTCCTCATAGGTGCCATTTTGAGATAGTTTTAGCTTTATAAATGAAAAGATGGAAAAGGAATATGGCCTTTTACGGCCCCCTTGCCTGCCGCGTGACGAGCTGGCCACTGTCTGAGCTCACTCTTCCCAGAGGCAGAGCCACCTGCCCTAGAAAGTCATGCCTGCTCAGAGCTGGCGTGAGGGCAGTCGGAGCCGCGGGTGAGATGACTCCCAGTAGAGGTGCAGGCAGTGGGGAGGGCAGGGGAGGGCGCCAGGGACCCGCGTGTTCCTCCTGCGCAGCTGTCACTTGACTGAGATGTGTTTGTCCGAATGTCCTTTGTGCCTTAGCTGAGGAAAACTGACTTGTCCTTCTTTGTCCTTAGGTTCCAGCTGGGGTGAGAGCAGCTCAGGGAGAATAACAAATTGGCTTGTTCTAAAGAACCTTACACCTCAGGTAAGAGCACCAGGTGTCCTGGCCTATAGGCATGTGCCGGGAGACACGGGAACAGAGGGCTCCAGTCTGGTTTGAGAGAAGGTTCGACCTAGGCCTCCCACGTGCTACTGAGTAGACGTCAAGGCGGGACCAAGGAAGTAAGAGCGGATGATCTTTGGATGCCTCAGGCGGGCTGTGGTCTGACCCAGTTTGTTTACAGTATGAAACGTGCTCGGAGGCGACCAAAAAAGACGCCTCGCTCTCACGGCAGAGGCACTGATGGGCTAGGACTGTCTGGGCTAGGAGTAGGCCTGCGCTCCCCTGCAGGTGGCCCTTGTGCTGCAGTCCGGAAGCCCTGGTCTGCCTCGGAGGTGAGAACATCTCCTTAGGCCCCGGACCACCCCTCCTCTGGAGGCTGGATGTTAAGAGCCCACCCCCTCCTCTCCCAGGGAGCAGTGCCTTGATGAATCCTGTCCTCAGGGCAGGGAAGAGAGAAGACATGAAGCCACAGCAGGGCATGGCTAACTAAGGAAGTGGGGATCTGGGGAATGTCCCGGAGTCTAGAGGCCACAGAGGTATGGCTCTGGGAGCAGTGGAGGTGGGGAGGGGGGCACTGGGCCCCGTCACAGCAGTGAGGCCCAGTGAAGAGTGGCAGCAGGAGTGAAGAACCTCGGGCAGGAAAGAGCAGCAGAGTCCCAGCCTGGGACGACCTCCCTGATGGTCTGCGTGGCGGCGCATCTAATCGGCGGCTCCCCACGCTCTGTTTCCTAGATCGATGGCTCAACTCTGCGTACTCTGTGCATGCAGCATGGCCCACTGATAACATTCCACCTGAACCTCCCACATGGAAATGCTTTGGTCCGTTACAGTTCAAAAGAAGAGGTAGTGAAGGCACAAAAGTCTCTGCACATGTAAGTTGGACATCTGGTGCGTGCCACCTGGAAAATGCCCTCATGATTGGAAGGGTTTGGGTTCCCTTGTGTGTGGAAGCACAGCCGATGGCACTGTGTGTCATCTCCGGGCCGGCGCGTGGAGTCCTGCGGTAAGAGTGCTTCGTGAGGTGGCGGCCTCGCTCTGTCTTGGGTTCCAAGGTCAGTCCTCCTAGGGGGAAGCACTGCCCCTCAAAATGGCCCTAGAAAATCTCTTAGATCACCTGTAGGAGACAAAAAGCCATGATCCATCTGGATACCACAACCCTACGTGGGGGGCAGGTGTTGCTCTGGGCCCCAGAGAGCCCTGGGCCACGTGTGCCGCTGCGGCCCCCTTGGCTTTCACGCAGAGGCAGGGTGCGCCCCTCAATTCGAATCAGACCCTTAAGACACCCCGAGTCTTCACTGCGTCCCGTGTCTCTTCCCTCCAGGTGTGTATTGGGGAACACTACTATTCTTGCTGAGTTTGCCAGTGAAGAGGAGATCAGCCGTTTCTTTGCACAAAGTCAGTCTCTGACCCCTTCTCCTGGCTGGCAGTCTCTCGGGTCCAGCCAGAGCCGGCTGGGCTCCCTCGACTGTTCCCACTCGTTCTCCAGCCGGACCGATCTCAATCACTGGAATGGTGCTGGGCTGTCGGGAACTAACTGTGGAGACCTTCACGGCACTTCACTCTGGGGGACCCCACATTATTCCACAAGCCTGTGGGGTCCTCCCAGCAGCAGCGACCCCCGGGGAATTAGCAGCCCATCCCCCATTAATGCTTTTCTTTCTGTTGACCACCTGGGTGGGGGTGGAGAGTCCATGTAATGTGTAGATGTAGACTCACGAACTGTGACCTCAAGAAGCGAAAGAAAGGAGCACTAAGTTGGGCTCGCCGCCTGCAGCCAGGGGCCACCTGTGGGAACAGCTCTTCTCTGCACATTTTCCACTTTGTTTTCCCTGAAACATATCAGTTTGAATACTTGAATCATGCAGGCCAATATTATAATGTGAAAAGGTATCTATCTATTTACACTCCCAAATAGCGCCATACATGCTAAACCGTGTAGAATGAGCTCACTCGTGTATATTCATCATGTTTAGCCTTTGGGTTCTTTTCTTTTTTCCGCCCTGCCCCTTCCCTCCTTTCCTTCCCTGTTTCTCTCCCCATCCTTTACCTGCTGTTTCCCCCTTTTTTTTTTTT